ATCTCTCTCTCTCTCTCTCTCTCTCTCTCTCTCTCTCTCTCTCTCTGTCTCTCTCTCTCTCTCTCTCTCTCTCTCTCTCGTACTAACACACTCACCGTGGCGCGCGTCGGGGGGCGTCGGCGGGCAGCGCGAAGGTGTTCTTCGCCGGCGTCGGGGGGGCGTCGACTGCGTTGGCGGGCGTGGGGGGCTTCGAAGGCGACGACGAATGCACCCGTCGGCCGAAGTGAGGCGTCGGGTCGGGCATAGTGAACAATCGGGCGGGAAACTAGAAGCAAAACATGAAAAAAAAGGGCCGGTAGAGCCCATTTTGAACTATTTCAATCACGGCCTATCTGGGCCGTCGATCCTGGAGATCGACGGCGCAGATGGGCCCCGATTTGAAATTGTTCAAATCGGGCCTACCGGCCCTTCTTTTTGTTTTTTGTTTTCCATCCACGGCCTCCTTTGGGGGGGAGAAGGCCCCCCGCGAAGGGGGAAAAAAAAAAAAAAAAAAAAAAAAAAAACTCGAAGATGCGCTGGGGTCGCCCGGTCGCCAACCGGGCGGAACGACCGGCCAGGCGGCCCGGCCCCCCCCCGGGGCAACGAGCCGGCCGCCGGGCGGCCCGGAGTTCAGCCTATGATCTTATATATTATCAAACATTGTATAGCCGCGGCGCGTCTTCACTTGTTTAGTGCTAAAGTGCAGATTGAAAATGACTGGCAGTTGGCATGAGGTGCTGATAATGCATATGGTTGCTGCACATATGAACTTTGCTGATTCCTCGTGGACAATTTTTTATCCTCTGTGCCCCACTTTCAGGGCCCATCCTCTCGATCGAGATTTGGGGACACCAGACAGGAACCACATCACATTCGCAACAGCACCAGCAGTGAAGAAGAAGTTACTGCCTCTGAAACCTAAGGGGACCATCTTAAAGCCCAAACCAAAGTTGTCGCGACCTGTTGAAGCAACCTTAGGTACAGACAGTGATTCAAGTCTGCCACACGGAGGAAGTGAGCAGCCTCATAATGCTCAAAAGGGTTCTCCAGCAGGGGAAACTGCAGTCAAACCTGTAAATATACAGGCGAAGGATCGAAAGAGGACAACACGTAAAGTAAGCTGGGGGATTTCATCGGATGATGAATCTCAAGACGGAAAGGTAGACAATGCTCAGAATGGTAAATATTCTTTCGGGATGTTGGAAGAGCATACCGGAAGTGTTGCTTTAGAAGATGGTGGTGCAGATGATGCAACTGCAATTGCTAGAAATGAAAGTGAAATTTCCGGGAGCGCAGGAGCTGTCAATGCAACTGGGGAAGGTGTTCCAAACACCCCAACCTCGGAGGCCTTGTCGGTGCCTCCAGAGACAAGAGTCAAGAAAAGGCGAATGTCAGAAGGAGAGATTCTGCAGAAAAAGCAGGTGGCGAAACTTCAAGCACCAGCTGTGGGGAAGATGGAGAGCCTAAAGCCGAAGGTAATTGGGGAGTCTCTGCCGAAGAAAGGGATAAAGCGACCAGCGATGGACGATTTCCCTGCTCCTCCACAAAAACGTCAGCAGCCCGAGTTTTCGAAAGCTGAGGTTGAGGAGAGGTGATACATCTCACCCATTTTCCCCCAGTCTATGCCCCATCTTTGATCGCTCCTTTTGACATGTTTGCTTTTGTGCATTTGCTTCTGTTCTAGGTCACTGGAAGGTCTGATCGAATGGGTTCAAATCAGATGGTTTCAGCCAGATGTTGTGATGCTATATCTTTGAATGATGAAAGAAGAAATGTTTGCAATTCAAATGAGCAGCGCTGCATCACAGTGTCTCAAAGAGTGATATCGCACAAAGAACTGGGATGAAAAGAAGCGAGTGCAATAAGAAAGTTTTTAGATAAAAATCATAAAAAGTAAACTATTATCAAGTCTGAAGTGATTAGTGACCAAAGAATCTCTCCACCTTCTTGCTTCTGAAATGAGCCAAGTACTCGTCAAGTTCAACCTTGCATACGTCAATGAACATGCACATGAGAGTTCACACGTGAGAAGCCAAATCGAGATACAGTGAACACTTGAAGATGTGGTCTCCAATATTATTATCGATATACAAGAATGTTCGTCTCCAGTGGCTCTGCCGCACACACATGCACACCGGATGTTACATACTTCAATGAGTATGGGCAGAACCAAAGATCAACCAATATAGGATGAGCATTTATGCAGCGGAAGTCTGATAACGAACTGACTCACATAGACTGACCTACATGGCATCACTCCACACACATACAATCATGAGATGGTGGGGTCTGGGTCATTCAYAGACGATACCCAGATCCCGTACACACATACACAGATGAAAGGTGGGAGGAGAGACGAAGGAGGTAGGAGGTAGATCACACCGATAGGTCACAAGATAAGAGTCTGGTAGGTCTCCGAAATGGTAGTCCAGAATGTCATATAACAAGATCAAAATGTCGAGGACCAAAGGTCACCAATGTCGGAGATAACCGAGTCCAGATGTAACCGGTGT